TGAAGCATCATAAGCTTTTATCTGTAAAGACATTTGTATTATTTGTAAAGACATATATTCCAAGATAGCCATGATTTCCAGCAAATGTGCAGTCTCAGGATCACCTTTTCCAGAACTCAAGGCAAAGGCCCATTGGAATTCTTAATTTGAACCTATGGATGGTGCTTCTATTTTAGTTCTTCATACTCTGGTAAATGAAAAATATAAGCCATTGCATGACCTTGCTCAAGGGAACACCAAAAGGGATCTGTATTTCTAAGTTAGCATATAGACCTTCATCCAGTAGTTGAACCTTGATGATACACACATGCTGGCCTATAGCCAAAACCTTTCTGTCCAGCATCTCAATGGGGTGACATTCCTCAAGCCCCTTTGCATTTCTCTCACCTGGAACTATTTCTTTTAATTTGTGTTTTATGACCTTTAATATAGTAATCCATTTCTCAGTCTTTTCTTTATTTAAGTCTGTCTTAATTTGATCTCTCCTAAAAAGGATGTACAAAATTGTAAATGTTGCTTTAAAAATACTTGTATGCTAAGAGAGACAAGTTCATCCAAATGTATTGTGTCATTTTGTTTTCTTTTACTTTCAACATAGGAAATTTTTTTTTTTCTTTCTAATCTCAGAACCTTTTCCTAAGGACTTTACTTTCTTATGTTTTAAGCAGACACTTCCTCCTATGATTTACTTTTGTACACAGCTTCCCTTTTCTTTTACTGTTTTCCAGATTCAATAGTTACCAGTGTAGAGGTGTGGTGCTTCTCATTTTGCCCCTCCCTATCCACACAGCTGGCACAGAGGCTGCTGGCTCCACTCCCCTCAGGTTGGTGCCTCTCTCTGCCCAGATAAGGCTGTAGACTTTTTTAGTGTGGACCCAAATTTGGGCTGTGTTTTTCCCATGGGTGTCCTACCTCTATTTAACCCTTCTCTAAAAGGGAGAAGTTGCCGCTGCCCTGCTATGAAGCCCTGAGCTGGTTGTCCCAGGCCTGCTTTGCTCTGGGAAGCCTTTTGCCTTCTGGGGCCTAGCTGAGGCTCTTCTCTGCTTTTATTCTCTTCAAAAGACTAGTCCTCCAGTCTGGCCAGCAAATGACATCAGGTTACATTTCCCAGTACTACCCACTGCTAACCAGCCTCCCCTCCAGTGTGGCCTCAGCGCTTCTTAAAGAGGTTTTGCCTGGCTTTCTGGGCTGCCTCTTTTGTCCAGAATTCTTGGCTTAAAGCTGGAATCTTGTGTTTTAAGCTTGGGTTTTAGGTAAGTTCAGACTACATGTCTCCCATGAAGGGCACCATTTGTAAATACATATTTTCCTCCTGCACCCCGCCTCCCAAAATAATGACTCTGATGCTTAACTGTATTAATAAAAGCCTAGGACAAAATAGCAAGGCCTGTTCCCTGACTTGCTTATAACTAATATCCTATTTACTCTATTCTTGGTGTATGGTTACCTCTGCTCAGTTTCTAATGTCCATTTCAGAATCCCAGGGCCAACACCACTCTCTGGATTGTGCTCCCCCCTCTCTCTGCCCCCTCTCTGGAACTTTCACCTTCTTATTTCCTGCTTCAGCCAACAAGTCATTAGCTTTTTACTGACAGGTGATGCTTTCGTACAAAACACAAGAGATTTCTTCAGGTACATTAAAAGATGAAATGTGATCATTGTGACAATGCAGAAAGTGTTACATTTTTTGAGCACAGATTAAGAGACAAGGCAGGAAAGAGGCTGACAACAACAGGTGAGACTGTTTAATCAGTACTCACAGACAGGGACACCAACTCTCCTAAAAGTGTGGGATTGGGAGTTTGTGTGAGGCAAAAGTAGTGTCTGGGACTTCTAGAGAGGCGGGTGAGGGGCTTGGGAATGAGAAAGTTGATGCTACTTAAGGGGCCCTGTATGTCTGCAGTCTCTCCTTCCTGGTATTGTCTAATTAGGCAAGACAGATTATTTTGGGAGACAGGCTGTCTCCAAAAACATTCCTCCCTCGCTGGTTGTAGCTGACCAGTAAGGTTGAGGAAGGTCAGCTGTAATCACAAAGGAATCCTGCTTGACAAGCAAGAATTTTCTGATGACACAGGACATTATATCAAGCAAATAAAGGCAAGTCCCATGTGGTGTGTGACTGTGCTTCTTGCTCTATCAGACTGACTTACCTGTATCACAAACTCTTCTAGCTGAGATCACTGGAGCTGATCCTCTCTGCCTGGTGGTAAAGCAGGACTGATAGGAGATTACAGGTGACTCTGCCTTCTCACTCAAGCAGTCAGGCTCTGATGGGTCAACCTGTCTCAGTTTTGACATACAGTTTGATGAAGGAGAGACTTCAGGAGAGAAAGGTGGAGTTCATGATGCAACAGTTTCCTCATTCCCAAGCCCCTTATTCTGCTCCTAGAAAGGGTTGTGGCCCCCTCCCCATTAGACTCCTTCATTACTCATGGGAGTGAGTCTGTCTTTCAGTGTGTGAGGTAATAAACACAGTCCTGTCTGTTGACAGTCAGACTCCTCTATCTCTTTTCTGTGGTTGGGCCCTTTATGCTGCCTCAGAAATCTAACGACAGTCAGACTTTGAAACTAAAGGATTTTAAATCACCTGAGAGCTGTAATTTTTATCCCATTAGCTGGTAATATCAGGAAGAAGAAACCTGGAGAAACATTGCTCAATGGATGTTCTTCATTTAGATAAGGTGAAGGAACCTTAGGGTACTGATTCTTACCTGATCTCACAGGAATAAAGTTCTCAAGTGGCTAGGTGTGGAATAGTTAAACCAGAGATTAGAAATATAAGAAAAAGATATAAAGAAGACAATACTGGGACCAGGAGGTCCTGTATAAACTGACTCCCCAGAGGCAAGCAAGTTCATTAAGAAGTCCAGCACGCTATATGGAATTAGCACATCTAAGGTAGCCAAGTACACCAGAGACCTAAATCACAGAACGCTGGCAATGAAAGCACAGGATACCTCAGACACAGCTGCCTTAAGGGCTAATAATCCCAGTCTCAGGAGAAGAGTTAGATCCCCTAGTAACTACAACATGGACTCCTTCATGGCACTGGATCCTATGTCAGACTGGCCTGGCCAAGTCCACTGCTGGATAAGGACAAAGAACTAAAGTTCCCTTTGTTCTTTCATGGAAGCCTCTGAGACAGTCTTGGGTCATTATACGTCCCTGCAGTGACTTAACTTGTGGCTTACTTTCCTAATTATAACTTTGTGAATATACTTTGATTCCATTTGTCTACAAATTCATTTATTGCTCTACCCATTGGCTGTTCAAACCCATGTTCCTTGGTGCATCACTTTGCATCACTTGGTTCCTTCTCAGGAAGGCAGAACTTAGCCCAGAGCTGCTGCATCAGATTTGCATCTTCATTGTATTTGTCATGTGATTGTGCATATTGGGTTGAGAAGTACCTTCTCCATCACCATGGCTCCCTACTGTGAAAAATGTCCATAATGTGTGCTGTATTGTAATATAAACACCGGAAACTGAAGTATAGTTTTGCAAAGTTTTATTATTTATTTACTTATTTTTTTCTTGTTTTGCTGGCTAGATTCATGTGAACTTGAAACAAACTATAGTTATGCAAGTGTAAGAATCTTAATTTAGTAAATGCCTCTATAAGATCAGGCTATGTGAGAGCCTGTAGAGCATTTTCTTAATTAGCAATTGATGGAGCATAGCACAGCCTGATATGGGAGGTGCTGCCTCTGGGCTGATGGCCCTGGGTTCTCTAAAGAAGCAGGCTGAACAGGCCATGTATAGCAAGACTATAAGCTGAACACCTTTTTGACCTCTGCATCAGCTTCTGCCTCCAGGTCTCTGTCCTTTTTGAGTCCCTGTCCTAACTTCCTTCAGTGATGAACAGTGATGTGGAAGTGTAAGCCTAATAAACCCATTCCTCCTGAAGAATTTTGATCATGGAGGAGTTTGATGACAGGAATACAAGCTCAAACTAAGGCATATATATGATTGTAATTTGATAGCATACATGTCTGAGAAGTTGTCGGATCCTCTCTAACTGCAGTTAGACACTTGTGAACAGCCATAAGGTCTCTTGGAATCAACCCCAGGTCCTTTGGAAGAGTAGCCAGTGCTCTTAATTGCTGAGCCATCTCTCCAGCCCCAGCATACTGTTTGTAGATGCATTCTTTCTCTATTTTACGGTTCTTGAAAGTACAAGTGTCCGTAGGAGTTTCCAGGATCTTCTGCCAACCACTTTCCTTAACGATGACTTGTGGTAAATTTGATGGTATTTGGCAAAATATGTTTATTATTAGCCCTATAATTATTATGGCAGTATGACACAGATACCTGTTAGATTTTATAATTGCCTTATAACATCTTGGCCTGGTTAAATAATTCCACTAAGCTATCTCAGTAACGTCCCAGCCTCTATACAATGCCATCTGCCTTAACCATTCCTATCTGGCCTATCTCCAATCCATAATTCCATAAATACTTGCTTATCCTTCATCTGGATCTTTCCTTTCCATGCCACTTTTGGAATCCTTCCTCCTGGCACATGTGATTTCTTTTCCATGCTAACCCATCATGGCTTTCTTCCTTCTCCTCTCCTCCTGCCTATCTGTCTCCTCATGATTATCCTCTCTCCAAAGCCCAGGAACCTTCCCCATACCTACCTTCTTCCACCTCTGCCCAGGTACAGGTCTTTTTTATTAACCAATCAGAAATAATATCTTAGGTTTACACAAGAAGGATAGGTATATCTGGGCAGTAGCCAGATTTTGAGGGCCAGTAATTAGCATCAAAATATAAGCACCAAACCAACCCCCAACAATGATCCTCTGTAACATTACAGCACTAAATCAGAAGTATTTTAGGATGTTACTACCTGTATTAGAAGCACTTCTAGCTCTCATCTCACTCCAGAGGACCTTTAGTTTGGTATGGAGAGGTACATGATGCCTCTTGGTATTTGTGTTACTATTGATAGTTGTAATTAGCATAATGTGTGGTAGTCACTCTTTTCTATATTTCAGGATCTGCTGTCATTCTGGGATGTGGCCATTTATTTCTCTGCAGAGGAGTGGGAAATCCTGGGCCCTGCACAGTGGAAATTGTACAGGGATATGATGTTGGAGAATTATAACAACCTTGTGTTCCTGGGTGAGGATCACTTCCATGATGAATTCTTAATTAACTGTCAGCATGAAACTTGCTCTCTTTCTACAAAAATATCTCATGGGAGCTTGTGCTTCCATCTCTAAGGTTCATAAGCCTGTTTTTAAAGAAAATTAAACTTGTTCGTGTACCTTAGAACTATTTATTCTTATATTCATAATGACCACCTACCTTTTAAATGTATGCTTTATAATAGGAAGTAAGTGGCATGAATAGGAGTGGTATACCTTAAAGAGACTGTCACGCCCTTCAGTGTTAAAAGTTTTTGTTGTTATTGAGAAATGTGAAGCTCAGTACCTGCAATTCCTAAATTCCTTCAAAGCATTCCTATGTGCCCATCAGAAAACACATAAAGAACGAATCCTCTACCCTCCTTTATTGTATCTTCTCTTTCTTTATGCACACAATCCTGGAAAGGACATGTTTTTCCCCAGGAGAACACATTAACAATGTTCTTCCCTTTTCCTACAAACAGGTCTTGCTTCCTCTAAGCCATACCTACTCACATTTCTAGAGCAAAGACAAGAACATGCAGATGTGAAAAGACAAGCAGCTGCCACCCTGCACCCAGGTGTGTCAGAAAGAGGGGCCTAGAGGACAGAGTGGGATATTCAAACGTCCAACAGAAAGCCATTGAGACACAATGTTCTGGTGGAAATTCATCTCGTAGTGATTTCATTTTCTGTCTTTTGCTGTCTGTAGAGGACATTTATGTGACATTTTTGGTGCTTTCATAAGCTTTGTTTTTTCTTACCATGTTAACTTGTGTTTACCATGACAGCCAAAGCTCTGTCATTTCATCGTGATCATTAACTTGAGTATTAATTTTCTTCAAAAGAGGTGCATGAAAATTCTCATCTTCAATCCTTGAAATTTATTATTGAATGTTATTGTGGACCATCTTCTTCTGCCTAACACTCATAACTTCCAAACCTAAAACTCGTACTTAGGATATATACAAATTGTGCATACAAATGTTTTCTACGTTAAATAACATTTATGCTTTGTTTATATCTAGTCATAAAACTTCTGTATGTGTTTAAAGGGCTGATTTGCATTTACATAATGCTATTTTGGCTTTTCTTAGTTGTCGATATTAGGCCTTCCTTACATGTTTGACTTTGATTAATATTCCTTGGTTTCTGTGTTCTGTTTTCATAGTCTTCTTATTTCAATGGAAAGTTACCTGAATTTCACCTATTTGTGTTTTAAATTCCACTTTATTGAATACATGTATAGAATTTTGAATGTAGCTCATCATTTATATAATAAAATGCAAGTATGAGTAAAAGTTTGTTTTTAAAAATAAGCATTGTAAATATAAAAAATTTTGCTCTGCTTTCACTCACTTCTCAACCTTTACTCACCAGGAGGAAAACACTATACATGCAAAGAGTGTGGTAAAGTCTTTGAGCGGAAAAAAA